AGCCGGGCTGAGCAGGCTGCTAGGTCTCCCTGAGGAGGGGTGGAGAGGGAAGCTCAGCAGTGCTCAGGGAGGCCCAGCTCAGTGCTGGCAGCTCAATGCAAGGGCCCAGGGATGCGGATGACATGGGCCACTTTGGGGGCCAGACAGTTGGGTCTTACATAGAAGTTCATTTTCATCCCTGAGGCCTGTTTTTCTCAACCTTTTCCTGAGTGTGCCCCCTTCTAACCTTATGTCCTCCCTGTCCTAATCAGTTGACTCCATAATCTTGTGATCTCACCCCTCCCCCTATTTATAATTTTTTTCTAACCTGTGACCCTTTGGAATATCCTGGGGACACAAAAGGGGTGAGGATCATATCACCCCTGGTTAGGAATTGCTGCTCTAGACTACAGGAGACTGGAGGAACAAAGTTTTTCTTGTTTCTTTTCCTTGGTCTTGTAGCCTCACCTGTCAATGTTTGGTTCTTCTCCCAGCTCTGCACTCAGGGCTCACTCCTGGTGGGCTCAGGGGACCTATATGGGGTGCTGGGAATTGAACCTAGGTCACTTAATCACTTAACTTCCTGTTAGTCCTCGATTTGCTCGAGCGGGCGCCAGTAACGTCTCCATTCGTCCCTGTCGCGTGCCAGTGTAGCCCAATGGCATCTGTTCGCTCTGGGAACATGAAGAGCCCCAAACCGATTGTTCATGAATTACAGTAATTACAACTGTTCTCATTCATGAACCTAGGTCAGCTGAGTACAAAGCAAGGTACTATCACTCTGGCTCCACGTTTTTTTTTTTTTTTTTTTTTTTTGCTTTTGCTCTTTGGGTCACACCCGGCGATGCACAGGGGTTACTCCTGGCTCATGCACTCAGGAATTACTCCTTGGTGGTGCTCAGTGGACTGTATGGGATGCTGGGAATCGAACCTGGGTCGGCTGAATGCAAGGCAAACACCCTACTCACTGTGCTATCACTCCAGCCCCATCCAAGAGCTTTTTTCAAAAAATATTTTCATGAGGTATAGAGAGTAGCACTGTCCTCCCATTGTTCATCGATTTGCTCGATTGGGCCCAGTAGCATCTTCATTGTGAGACTTGTTACTGCGTTTGGCATATCAAATATATCTTTGGGAGCTTACCAGTCTTTGCCATGAGGGCGAGATACTCTCAGTAGCTTGCTGGGCTCGCCAAGAGGGGCGAAGGAATCAAACCCAGTCTGCCAGGTTGGCCACGTGCAAGGCAAATGCCCTACTGGCTGTGCTAAATGTTTCCTTAGGTATACAGTTTTATAAATTTGAGACAAATAAATAGTAACATTATTAAGTCTCCTGCCCCCACACCTGGCTGTCCTCACCGGGGCCCCTTGGAGGGGAGCGGGTTGACCTTTCCTCCCCGCCCCGACCAGGGCTCCAGCAGCCGAAGACCTCCAGGACCAGCCACCACCATGCTGAGACCACTCTCTGCACACATGAAGGTACTGGCAGAGGGACAAAGCCACGCGGGTTCCGGGGTCGAGATCTCCAAGCCTACTCGGATTGGGGCCAAGCATCCTCCACCCAGATCCTTCAAATTCCAGTAGGCGGGGGTCACACCCACCAACTGGCCCCCTGGAGCCATGTAATCCCATCAATGGCCAAGACTCAGAGACTATAAAACCCAGCTCCCAGAAGTGCACGCGGCCGCGACATCTTATTATGACATCTTATTATCTCATTCCTACTTTGGACAAACTGGCAGGCTACCAAATGTAGCCTGTCCACATGGTAGAGTCTGACAAACTCCCTGTGGCGTACCCAATATGCCAAATACCAGTAACAATGATGGGTCTCATTCTCCTAAAGAGCCTTGAATATAATCTCAGGGCTAGGATGAAAGAGACGTTACTGGGGCCTGCTCGAGGCAATCGATGAATAACAGGATGATTTGTGATTAAGATACTAAATAGTCCAGGCCAGAGAAATAATACAGTGGGGAAGGTGCTTTGCACTCAGCTGACTCAGTCACGAGTGATCCCTGAGTACCTAGGAATGTGGCCTAAAAACCACCAGGGAAAAGAGGAAGGAAGATATAGAAATAAGAAGATACAGAAATATAGAAAATAAGTCTCATCACCTTAAAACTTTGTTGATAACTCCCACTTCCTTGGCTGGAGGCACTTTTGTTTTGACTTGAGGCCTCCTCAACTGGGTTGGGGGCCACCTGGGTTACACTCAACGGTCCTAGGAAGGCCATGGGGCACTGGGAATAGAATTCAAGGCCCTCTTCAGTCCAGGTTGGGGTCAAAGCCTCTGTGCTACTGAGGAGGTCTCCACACTGCAGCAGGCAGTATTGGTCTGCTCTCTTATCCTATATTATTTATTTATTGCTTTTTTGGGTCACACCCAGAGATTCTCAGGGGTTACTCCTGGCTTTGCACTCAGAAATTACTCCTGATGGTGCTTGGGAGACCATCTGGGGTGCCGGGGATCGAACCCAGGTTGGCCGCGTGCAAGGCAAATGCCCTACCTGCTCCAGCCCCTCCTATACTTTTTAACTTTGAAATAATTACGCAATTACAGAAAACCGTTGAAAAGAAGCCCCTTCCATTTTATAAAACTACAGAAAAATAGCAAAGCCAGGAAACTGACAATAGTACAATTAATTAGATCTTATTCAGAATTCATTGGTCTTTAGCTGCATCAGCTTGTTTTAAGAAACACAATTGGACCATACAGGGAAGATGGGTTGGTTGAACAAGGACAAGGGATAAAGAACTCAGAGAAGTGTAAAGGAGGATTGGAGAAAATATTTCTGTAGAACAGAAATAAATCAGTTTTTTATAAGTGGTCTGGTTTTGTGTGTGTGTGCCAAAATATTGAATATTGAACCCAGCACAGGTTAAACATGTATTAATGTTTTGCTGAGCTATAACTACTGCTTCTATATTCAGTTTTGAGAAATAAAAATCTCCCATAGGGCAGCAAGCAAGTTTATTTTTAGTTTTTGAGTTACACCCAGCAACGCTCAGGGGACCATATGTGGTATTGGGGGTAGAACGGTGGTCTACTGCAAGTAAGGCAAATATCTTAACTCTGTATTCTCTCTGGACCCCAGACAGTTGTTCTAAACTGCAGGGCCTGATCTCTGACTAAATTGGGGAAATGTTTCCTCCAGTCATAAAAACCCCATTATCTAACATAGACAACGTATGATCACATTACCTATGAAATACATTATGAGCAATATATATTCCTGTTCTTATTCAAACAGGAAACACTTTTCATTGCTGCATCTTCTTTTGTCCAACTGAATGAAGGAGTAGCCAGAGTGATACCCTCTTGAGATTTAGATAGTAACTACTCTCAAAGGATAGCGGCAACTCTCCCAATGAAAACAAACTCAACATTTAGGCTGACTCTTACTCCTTTCTGGTGCTCAGTGTTTTTGTCCTCTCCTACCGGCTTCAACATCTTCTCTGATTATATTTAACATAAATATTCAATGGCTTAATTTGTCTAACCTAGTATATTTACAGGCATCACTTACTCATCAGGAACGGTGGGTGTTAGCTTCACTTTTACAGCCTAAGGCTCCGTGTTTGGTACCCAGGGGCACTGTAAAATGCTTATGAAAGTGCTGGCATGGGTAAGCACCTGGTTAGTGCTAGCCTGGCTAGCCGAAGCCTTCTTTTTTCTGCTCCACCAATGCCTAGTTTTGGGCGCTGAACTTTTCTTCAACAGTTGTGTTGGACTGCATTTAGAAAAATCTTTATAAATTCCCATGGAAATATTTCTGGCGATAAGCTTTTATTTAATTCCAATTCATCTGAATCTTTAGTTTGGTTAATACTTAGTTAACTAACTAGTAGTTACTACCAACTATACCTCTTGCATAGTTACCTACAGATTAGCTTTCTGGGGCTAAATATTTTATATACACTTAATTCTCCAAATTACTATCATCTATAATCACGTGCATTTAAAAGGGGGGGGGGCGGGTTAGGCACAAGGTGTCAAATTATTTTAGCCCCAGTTCCAAGAACTACTGAACTGCACAGGTTTCAGAATAACCTCCAAATTTGTAGTTATCTTCCGGATCTAGTTTGAATCGATCTAGCCGAGGGCCAGCGGTCTCTGCGCCTGAGGCCTCAGCAGAATTTCGAAAGTAAAAGGAGTAAATTAAAACCATCCAAACAAACAAAAGACAAAAGACACGGAGGAGCCGGCAATGTGAAACAATCCGTCCAAGATTACCCAGAGACTATCAGAAGCGGAGTCCCCGGGAGGAAGCTTGCCTCCGAAGCGCAATTTCCCCGGAACCACGCCACCAAGCGACACGTGGTAAAGGGGGCAGTCGAATTTGAATCTGCGGCAATGCCTGCGAACCGAGCTGGAAATGGAACAGCGTTAAAAAAAAAAAAAAAGACCAAAAGAAGAAGAAAAGAGCGGGCCAAGTGCACGCACACTCGCACACCAGTTTTGCAAAGTCGCACACACACCCCCCCCCCCGCGGTGTTGCGTGACAGGGCACTCGGGATGGGCGCGGGCGGGTGCAACCGGGGCCCCGCGGCCGAGCAGGGCCGCCTTCCCGCACCCGGGCGGCGGTCCCGGGGCGCAGCTGCCTCCCGCTCCGGGGCCGTTGGCGCGTCCCTCCAGGAACCCTCGGCCCGGCAGCCCCCGCCGCCCGCGGTCGCCGCAGCCCCGCCGCAGGTCGCCAGCAGCCCGGGGGTCGGGGTCGGCGGCGGCGGCGGGCGCCCGGCGGGCCACGCGGGGCGGGCGCTCAGGGCGGCCGGGCATTTCCTCTTCCTCCCTCCGCGCAGCGCGGCGCGGCGCGGCGCCCAGGCCCCGGCCCGGCTCGGGCGCTCGACCGGGCCTGCTGGCGAGCGGAGCGCGGGCAGGCGCCGCGCCCCGAGCCGCCGCCGGAGCCGCCGCCGGAGCCGCCGCCTCCCGCACGCCGCCCCCGCCGCGGCCGCGGGCCGCGGGGCCTCGGGGCGGCTGGGCCCGGCGCGGACAGCGAGAGGCGGGGCCGGCGTGCGGGCGGCGGAAGGAGGCGGAGGCGGAGGCGGCGGCGGAGGCGGCGGCCCGGAGCCGGGGCGAGGGGCGGGGGGCGGGCCGGGGGAGGGGAGGAGCGGCCTTCGCCGAGCGCCGCGCCGCGCCGCAGCCCGGAGCCGGCGGGCCCGAGAGTGACCGAGTGGCGGCGGGCGCCGGCGGAGCCGCGGCGTCGGACCCGCCTCCTGGAGGAGCTGAGCCCCGGCCAGGCCCGGCCCCATTCCCGCCCCGCGCCGCCTCCCCGCCGCCGCCGCCGCCGCCGCCGCCGCCGCCGCCGCGGGAGCGCTCCCCTGCCCACCCCGCCCCCGCGGCCGAGCCCGGGAGTCGAGTGGGAGTCGGCCGGCCGGCACGGGCAGCGCCGGGACCCCGCGGGGGACACTGCAGCCGGAGCCCGGGAGGGGCCGCGCCGCCACCGTCTGAACTAGGATGTCCCGACATGAAGGTGAGCGGACCCCCGCCCCCACCCCGCCGCCCGGGCCTCGGCCTAGCCCGGCCGGGCCGGGGCGCCGCGGGAAGGCGGCCGGCGGGCGGCGGGGACCGGGCCGGGCCCGAGCCGCGGGGGCCGAGGCTCCGCGCCGGGCGGGCGGGCGGGCGGGCGACGAGCGAGGAGCGGCCGCCGCGCCGCCGCCGCCGCCGCGGCCGCGGGGCCCGGAGCCGGGCCTGGAGCCGGAGGCGGGGCGGCCCGGCGGCCCGGAGGGTTTGCACTGTCATGGGGAGCGGGGGGAGGGGAGGCGGCGGGGCCCGTTACCGGCGGGAACCCGGCCCTCGGGACTGATACCGGACGCCGCGGGCCGCCGCGCCGGGCCCGGAGCCGCGGGCCCCGCCGCGGCCTAGCGCTCCCGCCGTCCCGGAAGGGCCCGGCGCGGCGGCCGAGCGGGGCCGCGGGCGCGGGCAGGAGCCCGCCGAGCCCGGCCCCGGCCCCCGGCGGGCGCGTCCGGTCGCCGGGAGACGACGGCGGCGAGGCGCCCCGGCCCCCCCGGGCCCGCGACGGCCCGGGCGGGGAGGCTCGGCGGCCGGGGAACGGGAAGCCCCCGAGCCCGGCCCGGCCTCGCGGTAGGCCTCGGCGCGTCCCTGGGCTCGGGTAACCAAGTTCCCGGGGCGGATCCGGCCCCGCCGCGGCAGCAGAGGCGGCTCGGCCCGCCGGCGGGCCCCGGCGTTGCACACCTTCCCGAGCACTTCGGGGCGGCGCGCGCGGGGAGCCGCTCCCGGCCCGGGCCGCGCCGGACACTTTGTTTTGCGATTTTAAAACTCGAGGGGGGACGGTTGCAGATTGGGAGACCGCGCTAGCCCAGTCCCAGGGCACAAAGAGACACATTTGGGGTGTGTGTGCGTGTGTGTGCGTCTGTCTGTGTGTGTGTGTGTGTGTGTGTGTGTTCCGGGCCGGTGTGTAGACTTTGAGTCGGTTTAAAAAAAAAGAAAAAAAGTTAACTTTAATTTACTACCATATGGTTTCGAAGAGGGGGAGGAGGTTTTGTTTCTTTGTTTCCCTCCCACAGGACTTTAAATTAAAAAAAAAAAGAAGTGTTAAGAGACTTGGCCCCCCAAAAGTTGATCCTGCTAAGGTTAATGGAGGATCGGAGAAGTGACTTTGAGAGAGAACCGTGTGCTCTTGATTTAAAAAAATCTGTATAGGCGAACCTAGGAGGGGAGAAAGTTAGTCCTTCACACCGGTGGAGCAGTAGGCTTGGGAAAATACTGGCCTAAGAATTTCCAGGTTGGAAACGCAGATGGACTTGGAGCACTTTTCAGAATTTGCATTACCAACTGCAGTGTTGAGATTGACGCAAGAACCATTTTCGGATTCAAGGATTCTGTATTTTAAGTACCCAAACTATTAGGAAGTAGACGGTATTCTGCAGCGTTAGACATTTTGAAGTAATAAGGTAACAGGGTCATAGGAAGAATTGAAAGTTGTGCCTGTTTCCTCATTTTTCCCCCCTTCTTAATGAAATATAGTCCCTATCACAAAGAAATAAGACTTACATTTTAATTTGGCATACTGAAGTTTATTTTAAACTGATTGTGTGTACATTAACCACCTTCACAAATCGAAAGTGAACTACAGCTTCAGCCTTTTTTTTTTTTTAAGTAAAACTTGGGAGGATTAAAGTTAACAGAACCATAGTGGCGGCGAAAGGTGTTTAAGACCCATTCTCTTGCTCCAGAAAATCACCCAGATAGTTCAAGACTGAATACTTTAATTGAATCTGGGAAGATTCCTGTACTCTTAGAGGAATCTTTCAGAGTCAAGTCTCAGTGGGAACATTTTGAATGTGTAACACAAATTCTGTAACTTAAGCCTATTTCCCCCATTTGGTCCGTGGAAAGCCTTGTGGTTATGAAACTTACATTTAACTTACTTGAGTATTACTGAGCCTCAGCACATTAATAGTCCACCTTTTCTGGTAACTTACATAATGCCAGATGTTTTTGAAAGAAGGAAAGTACTATAATACATCAGTTGAAGACTTACAGTACAGTACTTCACAAGCGATCATTGGTCTAGTTTATGACCTAATATAGAAATGGCAGTTTCATTAAGAATTACATTTTAATTCATTAGAGGTACATTTTATAGACTGTTTTTTCAGGCCGCCATTATTTTCATCAATAGAAACCTCACCCGCCAACATAGGCAAAGTTTTATTCCCTACTTATTATTATACTTTTTCTCAGTTTTTCTCTTGAAAAAACTGAGCAGGCTAATCTTACTTCTTCTAGACTTTCTTGAGCTGTATGGTTTTTGATTAAGGGCTTTTAAGCATCTAATCGCCTCCAGATTCTCTGAACTACCTGTTTCCTTTAGGTAGCATGGCCCAGAATTGGATACAGTAGTCTGGTAAAAGATCTGAACTGTGCTTTCTGTAATGTGCCTGCATTGTGCTTCCTTTTCAGTGCCTTCTGTATGCTTATAAGTTGTTACTTTGTCTTTGTGCCCACCCTTATGAGTTGCACTGTATTATATGTAATGATGTAACTTTGGACAACACATCCCCAAGATGGACACCTGTCAAGCTTAGAGTCTCTACCTTGTGAAGCCATGGACTGCCTCTGAGAAAGGAATTACAACCAGGAGCATGGGAAAATGCTCTAACGCAGGGGTCAGCAAACATTTTCTGTAAAGGGCCAGGTAATATATCTTGTGAGCTTGGCAAGCTTTAAGGTCTCTGTCAGTTCTGCCATAGTAGCACAAAAGCAGCTATAGACAACATGCAAAGGAGTTAGTACGACTGTGTTCCAGTGACGTCTTCCTCTGGGGCTGGGAAGATAGCGCAAGTGGTGAGACACCTAACCGAGCATTTGCAGGGTCCTACTTGGGTCTCCAGCACCACATGTCCAACTGGGTGTGGACCTGGTAGTTTCTGAGAACAGGGGCTGGGCCAACTTCAGCTGGGTGTGGTACCTATTTTGAAAATGTATTTTATGGACACTGACATTCGAATTTCATACTTTTCAGGTGTCATGAAATATGACACTTTGTTTATCATTTTAAAATGTAAAACCATTCTCAGCTTACAGGGCATACAAATGCAAGAGGTAGACAGATTTGGACGAGTTTGGTCCTTGTGTTTGTATTTGCTTACTTCTGCTCTAGACTAGGGTTTTAAGCATCACTGGAACGGGAATTGCTCGGAGTCCAGGAAGGATGGGCTCTGCTTGGTATACTCATCATTTGGATACTGGGGAGTGAGTCCATGAGCTGCACCTGTTTTCTTCCTCAGCCTTCAATGGCACCTTGTGTGTCAGAACGGAAGTAATTGTTTTTCAGGTCTGAGAAACTGATTCCTCCCCTCCTAGTTCCTGTCAGAGTCGAGATGGCAGTATTCTAGATTAAGTCTCCTACTTGCCCATTATGACATTCCAATCAATTCCAGGGCCTCTTTCCATTTTTATTTTTATTTATTTATTTTGCTTTTTTTGGGTCACACCCAGCGATGCACAGGAGTTACTCCTGGTTCATGCACTCAGGAATCTCTCCTGGCGGTGCTCGGGGGACCATATGGGATGCTGGGAATCGAACCTGGGTCTGCCGCGTGCAAGGCAAACGCCCTACCCACTGTGCTATTGCTCCAGCCCTTCAATTTTTATTTTCACTTTCTGTGTTTTTGTATATGAAAAAACATTTAAAAATGTTAGTATCCAGTCACCTTATGGTCACCATATCAATAACATTTATCTTCGTATTAAACACAGTGAGCAGTCATTTTCTAGTTTGTGAGTGTATTTTTTAATGTTTCAGTCTACTTTAAAGACATTTAAAATATAAGTATGCTCTCATCACTTAAAACCATCTTAGTCACTTTGCAAATTAAAGGAAAAAAATCTAATTACATGGAACTTTTAGCCTTAGTAATGAGATTATAAGTATTCCTTCATAACTTGGAGCCTAAATGGTTACCTGGAATTAATTCTATTACCTGAAATCAGTCAATCTTCTTTCATTTATTATCATGTATAAGGCATTCTACCTTATGTATAATGCACAGGTGAATGTGGGGCTGAGTGAATGAGACACAGTTTTGTACTTTTAAATCTAGTGGAGAAGATGCACATTTAGATAGCTTCTGCAGTGCAGTATAACATGCCATAGGAAAGGAGAAGCAAACTGATGACCATAACTTCAGTTTGACTAAATTTTGCCCAGTTTCAGAGGACTCTGATATGATTTCTAGTTTGTATTTTTCTCCCTTGAGTTTCAGTCTTTTCTTCCTTGAGTTTTTTCCTCCCAATTCTGGGGATCGCCTCACGATCCACATTGAGCCTCTCTCTGGCCTCTGAGCGCCTTCTTAAATCTTGTTGGTTACTTTTGATTTTGGATAAAATGGTAGAGATTTTTAAAAGAGAGTCCTTCTTTACCTGATTTATATTTCTCTTACCTTTTGGAAGGTTTTCATATGTAAAAATGATAGTGAATAAATACTACGTTCTCATAAACATCTCACAGGTTATTTTTTATATAAAGTACAAGAATAGGTAGGCTATTAATATGCTTTTTTTGAAATTGTACCTTTCTCTCATTAACGGATGTAAATTTTCTATTATCTAAAAAATGTTTTCTGAAAGTAAAAATTACAGTGAGTCCCAGAGTTCATCACAGTAACGTTTTCAGGGTTTGGACACTGCAAAACTGGAATTAATAATTAAAGCATGTGACTTTAATGTGATGAATTTTGCCTTCCGGTAGCAAAGTAAACTGGCTTTCATTTAAAAGCTCTTTACCATTAGGTTGGACAATTTAACTATGCTCTGTTAAAAGATTACCACATTCTTGACTTTTTTCAGTTAAGTCATCAATTGTATTTACCTTGACTTCATTTTGGCGGGCAGGGGAAGAGGAGGACATACCTAGCTGTGTTCAGGGCTACTCCTGCCTCTCTGCTCAGAGATCATTCTTGGTGGTACTCAAGGGACCGTATGTGGTTCTGGGGTTGATTGAACCTGGATTGGCTGCATGTGAGGCAAGTGCCTTACCCTTGTTCTTTCTCCCCAACCCAACTTTCTGATTTAAAGACTTAGTTTTGCTTTTGAGGCCACTCCCAGCAGTGCTCAGGGCTTTGTCCTGGCTCTGAGCTCAGGGCTAACTTCCAGCAGGGCTGTGGGGACTGAATGCAGTGAAAGGGGTTGACATGGTTGGCCATGGGCAGGGCAGCACCGTACCCGCTGTACTATCTCTCTGACTCTGAACTTTTTCTTTGCTTTTTGTTGTTTGTATAGGGGTAACACGTGAAGGTACTTAGGGCCTACTCCTCGCAGTACTCTGGGAACCGTGTGGTGCTGAGCATCAAACCCAGACATCTTGCATGCAAAGCGTGTACCCCAGCCCTTTGAGCCATCTCGCTGGCTTCTACCTTGACTTTCAGTAATTGACAAGAGTATAAACATTTTAATTTCCTGGATCTTTGATTTTATGAATGAATCTAAGTTGGTTTTGAAGCCCATTTCCTCCTTATTTTGGCATTTGTGTTTACGTTAGGATGTGATAAAGAATTCTTGTTTCAAATTTAGTTTGGAAGAAATTCCTTTTAGTCTTAGAATTTTAAGATGTATTAGTAATCTTGTTTAAGATTGAAAACGAGCAGAAATTTATGAAACTTCTAATGTGAAAGCATCAGCTAAATCCCTTCATATTAGGCTTGCAACATTTGAAAAAAAAATCCATGCATTTATGAGTCATAACTTGATTTCAAAACATCAGGTTTATAAAATTTACCACTTTTTTTTTTTTGGATTGTGCTCTGAGCCTCCTAGTTTGAGAGGCATCAACTCAGCCACCCAGCCTTGTGCCCAGCCTCCTGGATGTTTTCTATTTGTTCTAGGTGTCCAGTTTAGTAGGGCTGAAACAGTAATGCAGTAGGCAGGGCTCTTACCTTTAAGAGCACTGCTGGATGTGGCCCCCACAGAAACCAAAGCAAAAAAAAAAATATATATATATACACACACACACACACACACACACGTGTGTGTGTGTTAAAAGAGAGAACTGTTCATGATTAAAGTATTTGTTCAGAAGAGATTATACTGATTGTAAGTGTTCTAGGAGGCATGGCATTTTTAATTTCCTTAAATTGATATGGTACAGGTTTTTAGTCATAGTTTTTGTATTGGGGCCACACCCACCTTGTGCTCAGGGGTCACTGCTAGCAGTCTCCTTGGAGCATGGACGGGGTGGGGGAGGGGGTGAGAGATCAGACCATGCTGGGAGTAGAAATAAAAGCAATTGAAAAAAAAAAGCAAGTGCTCTACCACAGAGACTCATACTCAGCCCTCAGTTACTTATGATTTAGTAATAAAATTGAAAAGTCCTTAAGGTGTATATACAGATTAGAAATGTAGGCTTCTTGGGGGGAAGGGGGAGTGGGTTGGGCCACACCCAGTGGTGCTGTGCTCAGATCACTCCTTGGAAGTGCTTGGAGAGGACCATGTGAGGTGCCCGGGATTGAACCTGAATTGGTCGTGTGCAAGGCGAGTGCCCTGCTGTGCTCTCAGGCTCCCCAAATGTGGTAGTTTTATCTATTAGTCTTGCCCTGGTTCTTGTTGGAGATCTGGAATAAGGCATATCTTACTATTTCATGTGGGGATCTAGAATAAGGCAGACTGGGAGTACTTGATTCCTTGAGAAGGAAATGAGTGGTCAAGAAAAGAGATGATGAGAACAAAGGATCAGGATGGTATTAGCAGAAGAAAGTTAGACCATGTCTGTACCTCTTGGGAGTGATAGGTACACGCAGGAGGTCAGAGTTGGGAAACCAGCCTTCATGCCCCTGTAGTGTCTGGGCTGGATGGGAAAATGCAGTTTTGTGCGACTAGTAGGAGAGGAATTAAGCCACCTGTCATAATGCCACCCTCTTCCCTCCTCCCTTGCCCTCCTATGGAGTCTCTCTTTCTCCCTACACTCCCTTCCTTCCTCCCTCTCTCTGCAGTGCTCAGGGCTTACTCCTGGCTCTGCTCTCAGGAATCTCTCCTGACCTGCTTGCCGAGGATTGAGTCCGTGTTGGCCTTGTGCAAGACAAGCACCCTACCTGCTGTACTGTATCCAGCCCGAGAGTCTCTTCACCATGTTTAAAGTTTTTTTCTGGAGCGTAACAAAGCAGAGTGTGGTCCATCTGGTTCATGTACTTGGTTAATTGGTTTCGTCTCTTCGAAGGCGGTAGTTCCAACTAGCAGTCTGGCAGATGTTGCCAGTGACCACAAGGAGTATCAGGGAGAAAATGACTTCATCCATATTCTTTTACATTATTATTATTATTTTGGGGGGTTTTCGGGCCACACCTAGTTGTGCTTAGGGCTTACTCCTGACCCTGCACTCAGGAATCACTCCTGGCGGTGCTGGAGATCAAGCCTGCTTTGGCGGATGCAAGGTAACCACCCTACCTGCTATACTATTTCTGCAGCCTGGCTGGAACCATTTTAGAACCAACCGAAATCCCAGTAGTGGGTCAGTTAAGTCACCTTCAGTGAGAGCAGTGAGTGAGAAGTCTCTTAACGTGATGACTGATATTTGTACAGGTTCCTTCCAGCTCTCCCTCACCCCTCCACTTCTTGCTAGTATTGTGCTAGTGTCATGCACTTCAGCTTCTTTGGTCAGGGGATTGTTATTATTAGTCACTTTCTAGTCTTATTTGATGAGTT